ACACTACTTCTTCGGAGCTAAATAATGTAGACAATTTACTTAGAAAGTGAAAGAAACATAATAAAACACTGAGTAGCATATAAATATTTTAGGGCCAGATTCCCGCTACTTGGTTAGTTGACCATGGCTAAGTTTTTTAGCTTTGTTATGCCTTAGTTTGGTTAATTATATGATGGATAATAATTATACCTAAACCAATCAATCATGAGGAAATCAATGCTGAATTGTCACTGGAAGGACCGATGCTGAAGTTGAAGCTCCAATATTTTGGTCACCTGATATGAAGACCCGACTCACTGGAAAATATTCTGATGCTGAGAAACATTGAGAACAGGAGAAGGGGGCAACAGAGGATGAGATGTTTGAATGGCATCATCGACTCAATGGACATGAGTTTGAGCAAGCTCTGGGAGATGGTGAAGGACAAGGAAGCCTAGTGTGCTGTAGTCCATGGGGTCACAAAGAGTCAGACAGGACTGAGCTACTGAGCAACAACAATGAGGATGAAAGAAGAGGAATAAGTAGGAGTAAAAGGGTGTTAGGAGGAATAAATGATTAGTATTTGTAAAGAATTTATAACTATAACTGGCACATAGTAAGAGCTACAAAAGTGCTTGCCAAGCCATGAAATAATGCATTTAGTAAATATTTATTGAATAGCTAAATTGGTTACTTTTTAAAATAAGTACTCTTAAAAGCAGAAAATAAATTGTAGAATTCAGTCAATACACTTTGATAAAGCATAATTTGCTCTGATATAACCTAACTCTTCCAGCCACATACATAGGCACAAGCCCCTGTGAGTTGTGTTTGTTCCAGAGGGTTCTCCAAAGATGATGGGCACCACCACAAAATGCTTATTTCTGTGACACACTCCTCAGCTTCTTAACCTTCATACAGATGTGATTACAACTACAACACCAAAGTTTAATATTTCTGTTTGCTTAAATTGCATAAATATATTATCTGAGACCAGAACATCAGCCAAATACATTTCTTCATTGGGAATACTGTTTGTAGAGTAAACGACTTATGTTATCACTACTGTTACTGTTATGGGCATTTATTCACTCTAGAGTGTATTTTCATTGTAAAAAAAAATAAGGTTCTCAACATTGTCACCAAACGAAAATTTCTCTCGTCTACATATTGAGTGAGCATTTTTAACTAGCTGATGATTATTTCACTTTTCCCCTGGTTTCCTCTAAAGGTACTGTGGCCTAAAAATATACTAAGACCACTGTCAGTTGATGTAAAGAACTTTAAATGCAAATAAAGCTATTTTCTGTCATAAAAGAAGGAATGGTGAAGAGGAAGCCTCTTTTGGAAATTTAAGGGAAGCCAATATAGGAAAGTATGTGAAACTGATCCCATTGGCTTTTGGAGCATGGCATTTTGGACTTGGATTCCAGTGTTATGAACTACGAGAACTTGGGCTCTGTTCTTTTATTTCCCCATTTGTAAAATGGCAATGGAAACATCCGCCATGTAGGAATATTAAGGGGATTAAAAACTGCTTGGTGTAGGGACTGGCACATAGTCTAGGAGTGTTCTTGTTTTAGATAGCTGCTAAATTAATCAAGACAGCCAACCGCACGTTATAACCCCCTTGAGGACAAGTATCACATGCTCCACCATGCACAGTGAGTGCCCAATAAAACAATCGTTGATTGGCAGGCAAGGCAAACATCTGCTTCCAAAAAGATTACAGAATAAATCAACTTGATGTATAGGTAGTTCATGAAACATTGAGCTGGCTTGAGCAGTATTACCACTGAAGTCTAGAACTGCTTGGCTTCAGCATTATTCACTGGATAGAGACATTTGCCTTCGTTTTGATCAACATTTCAGTATTAATTCGAGGTGACCTGGAAAGAAAGACAAAAAATGATGGATATCAATTTGTAACAGTATACAAATCATGATAGATGACAGGATCTTGAAAACTCTTCCTTGAATGTGTTAACTAATAAAATCTGTTTTAATATTTGAGGCATTTTCTGAACTTCAGTTAGTGTAAACAATTTTTTAATTATATAATTTGATTTTTTTCCTTCTCTTAAATAAATTTCATATCATGGAAGTCAGGACTGTTTTAGAAATCTCTATATTTGGCTTATTTGGAGTTACATGAAACTCAATATGGTTGAGCAGAGTCCTGCTTTAATAGATGCCTCCTATAGAGGAAAAGCTGTTTGTTTTATATAAAGGGAATATATTTGCTATTTTCTGCCCTATCCATTTGCAGAGCTGGACATAACTTGAACATAATGTATACGGTTCCATTTTTGTTCTCTAACAAGCTGTTGTACCAGAGAGTGAGTCACGGTGAGAAGGCCTGGCTCACCCTGAAGGAACATTATTTAGAAATCTAAAAGGCTTAGACCGAGGATATGAAATGGCCAATTGTGAAAAAAAGGTTCTCTTATTTATACATTTTTTACTTTGTTAAAATTATACAAAGTAACATTTATAAGTCTTTGATTGTGACTAAATACAGGAGTGTAACTGAATACATGTATCACATATTACCATAGTTTTCCCTTTCTGGTTATTTCTTGGGAGAGTATAATGCTGGGAGTAAGGCTGGGAAATGTGGGCTTCGGAGGTACTCCATCTTATTAACTCTTTTTTGATCTCACTCTTAGAATTAAATCCATATTATTATTTATTTAATTTTAGAAAAGCAAACTAAACAATGCTTCATAGTACATTGTATTGGTCTATTTACTCATTTTTTTAATGTCTCGCTTTCTTTAGCATGTCAGAGTGCAGGCTGTCCATCACTAGAAGCTTTATTCGGTTTGACTGCTATTTAAACAATGTTGGGCAATAAAATGTGAGTTTAGAACAAAATGATAATCGGTACAGACTGTAAATATTTAAACTGAAAATTAGACTTCAAGACTGCTGATCAGTATCTCTGAAACTGTGTCTGGGAAGTTTATTGATTAAAATTTTGGTAGAAATTTTGAAGGAAAAAATTTTCAGATAAATCTTACAAATTAAAAACATTAATTTAACAATAAGAAAAATAGGCAGCTTAATGGGAAAAAAAAAATGGAAAATGGGCAAAAGGCCTGAACAGAGACTTCAGCAAATTGCACAGATTGTCAAGTAAGCTTATGAAAGTATGCACAACATCATATGGGAATTTGCATCAAGGAAATGCAAATTTTAAAAAAATGAGATACCACTACACACCAATTAGCCGAAATTTGGAACATTGCCAGCACCAAGGGCTGGTGAGGGTGAAGAGCAACAGGAATGATCACACATTGCTGGTGGCAATTCAAAATGGTGTAGCCACTTTGGAAGACATTTCAGTGACTTACAAAACTAAACATACTCTTATCATAAGATCCAGCAATAATCCTCCTTAGCATGTACCTAAATGAGCTGAAAGCTTCTGTCCACACACAAACCTGATATAAATGAATGTTTAAGTCTTCTTTATTCATAACTGTCCAAACTTGAAAACAGCTAAGATGCCCTTTAGCAGGTGAAGGAATAAATTAATAATGGTGCATCCAAACAATGGTATATTGATTAGCACTGAAAATAAATGAGTTATCAAGCCCTGATAAGACATGGAGCATATTTAAACGCATATTACAAAGTGAAATAAGCCAACCTGAAAGGTCTGTGTACTGTATACATTCAAGTATAAGCTGTATTGGAAAAGGCAAAGCTATGGAGACAGTAAAGAGATCAGTCGTTTCAAGGAGCTGGAGAGGAGGGTAGGATGAATAAGTGGAACATGCAGCGTTTTGGGGCCAACGAAATTGCTTTGTGTGATGCTACAATGATGGATACATGTAATTAAATAGTTTTCAAAATCCATAACATATACAGCACCAAGAATGAAACCTAATGTAAACTACGAAGTTTGGGTGATTATGACGTGTCACTGGAAGGTTCATCTATTGTAACAGTGAACTGCTCTGGTAGGAGATGTTGATAGCAGGAGAGGCTGTGATTGTGTGGGAGTTGGAAGCATATGGAAAACCTCTGCACCTTCCACACTTTTCTTTGTGAACCTAGAACTGTTCTAAAAATAGTCTATCTGAGAAAATTATTGAGGCTCAATCTACAATAATATATAGAAGAGATAGGGAAAATTCTGAACATTTCACTAGATGTTTGAGGCTCTCAAAGCTCTTGCAAATATTTATAACAGTCTTTAAGTCTGCCTAATCAATGCAATTTAAATATTCATTCACATCCTGATTTATTCACCAAATGTTTATTGATGCCTGTCTGTGATGAATCAAGAGATTGTGTCTGCCCTAACTGACAGTGCTGGGGGAGAAACATACCATTAAATAATCATAAAGGAGTGTCACAAGATTGATTTTAAATGCATATATCATTATGAAAGCATAATGGAGAAATATGCACACCTTTCATAACCGAGAAGCCAGGGAATTTTATCTGGAGGTTGTGACACAGGTGAATCGTGACTCATAAGAAGCCACAGCCTTTGAAAAGATACGTCCATGCCAATCTTACTTCTGGTGGAGTGGCTCTCAGGTAACAGAAGCCCTTGACTTGGCTCTGAGTCTTTTTAGTGCAGTTTTCATGTGCGTGTGTGTGTGTTTCATTTCCAGAATAATCCTTCACAGAAGCAGTGATGAAGCCAGAAATGAGAAATGAGGTGAGAAACTTTTGTAAATTCTCTACGGCACAGCCAGGCAAGAGAGACTGAGTGACTTGGTTTCTTTTAGTAGTTTTAATTGGACTTAGGCTTCTTACAGAAGCATATGGAGGTAACCGTTCATAGACGCAGAGCTTGCAAAGCATTTAGTATTAAAATCACCTAAACACAGATACTGCTTCTTGGACCAATGTCTAGTCTGAGCTTCATCAAAACGCTCAATGAATGATCATCCAAAGTGGGGAAGGTCCAGATGGTGGCTTAGAGCTTCTTTCAAACTCTGGAAGGGGCACCTTAGAAATATTCAAGTCACCTTTTCCAACATCTGAATTGAGTTACTTACATTACTATGAGTGACGAGGCTAGGGTGGCAGTGGGGAATAGCATTGTGTTCTACTTGCCCAGATGTCATGTTGACTCAAGTACTCTCTCACTTCTGTAATATCTAGACCCAAGATGTCTAAAATATTATAGATAAAATATTTATAGATAAATAAAATATAAATAAAATATAAAATATTATAGATAAAATATCTAGATAAAATATTCATACCTAACATCGATCAATCCTGAATATTCATTGGAAGGACTGATGCTGAAGCTGAAACTACAATACTTTGGCCACCTGATGTGAAGAGCTGACTCATTGGAAAAGACCCTGACGGTGGGAAAGATTGAGGGTGGGAGGAGAAGGGGACGACAGAGGATGAGATGGTTGGATGGCATCACAGACTCCATGGGCTTGAGTTTGAGTTGGTGATGGACAGGGAAGCCTGGTGTGCTGCGATCCATGAGGTTGGAAAGAGTTGGACACGACTGAGTGACTGAACTGAACTGAACTGAACAAGGACATTTCCACTTCTCTCAGATCTTCTCTTTTCTCTGAGACACACCTCGTTTGCTGATGCCAGGGAAACTGAACTTTCTCATGGCAAGTCTGATGCTTTATGAGCAATATATAAAAGAAGAACTTTCTGGTTTATTTGATTTCATTTGATTTTTAGTTCTTTTGAAATATGGAAACATTCTCTTTTCAACTCCATTATTTCCATCTTTTATGTGTGTAGCCATAAGTGTTTGGATTATAATAGAAAATGGCAGATAAATATGCTATTATAAAAGTTTTGCATAATTAGTTTAAGTATAACACATTCACTTTTGAAAATGTCCATACTTAGTATAAGTGCATCATGCTGCCAGGATATTTTTTTCCCTCCCCTCTGGGGTTGCAGTTCTGTTTTGCATCTCATCTCAGACACATAATTAGTTGTAGCAGGTATATTATAGTGGTCTCACAGCCCACATCACCCAAATCTTCTTTAAACATCATTTCAGCAAAGTAAACCCAGGAAATTCTGTTCACCTTACTTAAATGCTTGTAACTTTAGTATTTTTACAATTCTTTCAGGCTCAGCACAGATGGGATTTTTCAAATGAAAACCAGATGAATGTAAACAGCAATCTCACCATCAAAACCTAAAGGTAGAAAGACACAGGCCCTGCTCTGTGCTGTAATAAGATCCACATTTGCAACGAAAGTATGTTTCCAATAACGGTGCAGTTACCTTTCATTAGAGACTCAAATCAGCATTTTATTTTTCCTTTTATAATTTGACATGGTAAAAGGAGAAGTGGGCTTTCACATCTCTAATCCGCGTCAACCCGAGATGAAAGTTTTTAGCACTCTGCCTCTGTGGGGGTATTTGGATTTGTAGTTCATTTTACAAATCCTGTTTAACATATAATTAAATAATAATGTAAATATGTGACATAATCTCCCCTGGCTACAAACTTTCACTGACCCTGGTGATTTCCTCCCCTTGGGGTTTTAAATTTGATTTCTATTGCCCTCCTTTGCTGAAACGTATAGTCATGTCTTCTTCAGTTGCCATTTGCCAAATAGTCATTTAATGTGTATCCTCTTTAAAATTTACTTGCAATAATTCTCACTAGAGCAAAAAGAGCCCTTGATTAGAAAGGAGGCATCTTAACTCTGTTGCCAGTTTATTTTGGATTTTTATTTTAACTGTATATACACCTAGATCTTCTACAAAGTAGCCTCCAAAATCGGTGAACTTCAAAATCACTTGAGAAGCTTTAGAGCTTTGGAATTCCTTCCCCAGCTGATCCTGTTTAGCTGATCCAGAATTGGGACCTAAGCATCTGCAGTTTTAGAATATTTCTTTATCTAATATGCAGCCCCAGGTTTAGAATCACTGACCTAGGACCTAAACTCCCCATTCTTAAAGGGCTTAGTTCTTGTGTTGCCAATATGTGGGACCTTCTTATATTTGCAGCAAAGTAAAGAAATTAGTCAGGACTGGAAGGAGGAGAGTGAATTCTCTTGTAGACACACACACAGGCCTCCAGGAAGTCCTCAGAAGTAATAAATAACTTTAGCCTCTTATCCTGATTCTAATGAAGGACATATGAAATGAAGACATATTTGCTCTAAAATTACAGTGCCCTTATTTCATCTCTCATCAGAATTTGGTACATACTTTCTGAAAATCAGAGACTTGTTTGCCTTGATACTATTAATCTTATACAGTGGTACAGTTCAAGCTTTGTCATGGCAAATATTTAAAAACAGTAACGTTGTGGGTTACACTGGTGAACACCTACAAAGTGGATAATCTCTCTGGGGGTCTCTCTTTCAGATATTCTTCCTTCTCACTATACATGGAGGAACAAATGACTGAGTTCTGAATCAGTTAGCCAGGCAAGATTGACCTGGATGGTCAGATATTGCTTTATATCATTTCAGAACATTTAAGCAGAAAGAAAACACAGTTCCTGAATCTAGAAATATTGTTACACATCCTTGGGTTTTCTTCAATGGCTATTATTTCTCTCAATGGTCTTTCACTCTAATAATAGAAAAAGACTGTATTCTTTATGATAGAAAGTTGTGTTTTATTATTAATAAAATGGCTAAACATTTTGTTTTACTACAAATAATAGGAAAGTCTTTTTTAATTGATGCAGATGCTAAAATTTTCAAGAACACATAGAAAAATTAGGAATAGTGTAAATATATTTTTTAATTTTTCCAAGATCCCAATAAAATAATATGCAACTAAATATTATTGTTGTTGTCTAGTTGCTAAGTTATGTCCAATGCTTTTGCGACCCCATGGACTATATCCCACCAGGTTCCTCTGTCATTGGGATTCTCCAGGCAAGAACACTGAGTGAGTCACCATTTCCTTCTCCAGGGGATTTTCCCAGCCCAGGGATTGAACCCATGTCTCCCATCAATACAATTGAACCCATTGTGTTGCATGTGAATTCTTTAATGTTTATCCACTGGGTAAGACCAAATAAATATTGCATTTTTGTAGTTCCAGTAAGTCATTCTTCAAAATGGGTTACCTCTCTCTTTTCCCTGTATTATTTCTTTATCTTAAAACTTTAAAAAAGCAAATTAATAAATATATTTAGTTTGGAGGGCTTTAATATCCATTATTTTTAAAGGAACTTGAAAAGAGCAAAGAAGTGTTTGCCGTACAAAGTCAGAGGTAGGAAACTTGTGCCTGTGAGCACTGGAGTTCCTACAAATAATTCTGATACAAATACAAGGCTAAGAAGTTCAGATATGTTCTAGGGAAACAGTAAGTGTGATTAAAAGAGAAATTAATAGTTAGAAGTAAACTATGGGAGTATAATGTGTTTAATGTACCATGACTAAAGGACTGACTACTGAAGAGATTTGAAGGCAGTGGAGAGATGTAAATAACCTAGAGGAGAAAATACAACTTTACCTTGAAAGGGTCCCTGGTGGAGATTGATTGTAAAAGTTACCATAGGGTCATACTGAAAAACAGAAAACATGTCAAGAAAAATCTCTGACAGAGAATGAAAAAGAAGTGAAATAAGAGGATATTTGGAAAAATTACAGTTGCAATCTCCTCTTAGATTTCAGAAGGAATCATTCATAGAGCATGTGCTTCTACCAAGGAGAAAATGCTCAGGGGTCAAGGACATAAGATTTAGGGCTACAGATTCCCAGTGTGAATTCTTGATCTATCATTTACTGTATAACATAAGGCATATTACATTCTTGCTTATAAAATTGCATTTACAATATATTGATTTCATAGGTATCATGGTACCAAAAAGCTATTAGTCTATCTAAATGCTTTGACATTTTTAGAGGTGCTTTCAAATATAGGTGGAACCATATAACACAAAGCGAGATTCTGGATTTTGACGTTTCCCAAGTTGACTTGAAATTCCTGTGCACGTTCAATTGGACATTCACTGGTCCAAAGAAGGTGGGGACTGCAGTGGGAGACCCCCTTACTCTTGGAAACAGTCAACTTTAATTTAGACTGATAATGCTTGAGCAAAATGTCTAAAATCTCTGACTCTTCTCTCTTCTCATCTATAAATCTGTGAGAGGAAACCATTTTGGAGGTTCTCTGAAGTGTGTGTGTATGATCTGTGAGTACAACAGTCAATCACGGGGGACATTTCAAATTAATTTTTACTGATAGGAATTAACTTCTCTTAATGATTCATATGTTACTATAAACATATTTAGAACATTTCTACAGTATTGGTCAATTCTCTTCCATGCTTCCTCTGAAAGGAGAAGTGGTGGAAATTGCCTTTACCCAACAGCTTATATGCACATGTTCCATAAAATGTGAGTTGTGTGAAGTGCCGTTGATCACAAGTATGATAGCAGGGGAAAAAAAATGCCTGAGAGCTTTTGAAGTGGGCTGTGTTTGAATTGTGCTTAAGCTTTGGGGGAAAAAAAATTCTAGTGAGTAGCAGCAGAACTTACGAATTCTAGGATAATTGAAAATCCTAATTTCAACTGTTTTCTTCTTGGATATCATTTTTTAAAATTCTCATTCTTTTTCTATCCTAGGTTCCCTTAAGTTTGCAATGAATTTACGTTCTATAATCATCAACAGGGCCTTGTTCTTCACAATGAGAGCTGCCAGCCACGTGCACATCATGGCATAAAGGAAACAAGGCATTTACCACCTAACCTCATGTTTCCATTGACTGGCCAAACACACACGTGACAGCCAGGTGTGTGGTCTGTGTAGGCACATTCAGAGAACATGTTGGGACTGGCAAAAAACTAAAACTGAGATAAGGAAATTAGACATTACAGAGTGTGTTCTTAAGAATCCAGTTTGGCTTAAATAAGCTCTTCGTCTGCACCAGATAGGTAGATCGCACAGGAGCACTATGTCTCATCAAGAAATGTTCCCTAGACCACGCCACCCAGTCGACAACGGTGACAAGTTGAATTGAACTTGCTCCTGCTTCATCCAGAGCTCATTTCTTTCCAACCCAGGCCCACTTCTCCTTTGTAATCCAGCCTCTGTTTTCCGTTAGCTGTCTGATATGACCTAAGAGTCTGCTTTGTATGCATTTTACAAATCTTTATGT